CCTCTAGGGGATTTTATTCCTTTGCCAGTGACTGCTAACTTTTTGTGGCTTTCAAACTGGTCTGCATTGCTGCACAGCATAACCATCTATCTTCTAGGATATGACTTGGGTCCTATAAACATAACACACTCTCCTGGGGCCCACCTTCCTCTCTAATCACTATAGCAGCAAGGGGCACAGCCTTGGAAAGATGGGTCACCTTCTCCCAATTTTATCTATGGCTGTGCCAGCAAGCCCTGTTAGATGCTGTCACTCATTTCCACTCTCAAATGAATTTGCCCCAAAAGTCAGGATTCCTAGTTAATGCTCTCCTTTTTCCTTCTTAAAGTATTTTCTCCCTCTACAATAGCTTGGTTTTCCTCCATTCTTCTAGGATTATCCTTCTATCTCTTTCCATGGCTTAATCTTGGCCCCATATTGTGGTCATCCTGTGTTACTATCCTAATACTCTTTCCCTTGAAAAATTCTTCTACCGCCGTGGTTTCATCCATAACTGCAAGGAGAATTATCCCCACATTTACATCTTCATCCATGATCTCTCTTCCAAGTTATAGGCTTGTATATCCAAGGACATTTCCCTGCGGATGTTCCTCCATTAACCACAGACTCAACGTGTCTAAAACTCAAGTCATCATCTTTCCTCTTTAACTGGTTTCTTCAGACTTCCAAAGTCCTGTCAAAAGCATCATCCTTTCCCCAGTCACCTAACTTCTGAATGTCAAGAACTCCTTTTATTTCTCCCTTTCCCTTGTTCCCCATATCTAATTAGTTATTGAGTTATGTTGTTCCTCTTATATAATATCCTTCTTCCTTTTCATTCCAACTGCTACCACCCTAGTTCTGGCCTTACTCACTCTTCGTAACATAAGATACAATAGCTTCCTAATTGAGCCTTCTGTCTCCAGTCTCTTTTCTCCTCAAATCCTTCCTGCATATTGCTCAACAGCTTAAACTTCCTAAAATATCGTTTTAAAAAACTTTTCTCAAAAACCATCAATGACTCCCCAGTACCTATTGCATAAAGTCTAGATTAGCATTTAAGGCATGCCATAATCTGGCCCCAACTTCCTTTTCCAAGTCCATCTCCCATTTCTCCCTTGCATACATCTCCAGCCAAATTTATCTACAATCTGTCCCCAAGTTCTAAGACGAGGTGTAGAAGAAAGCCTACACTTGGAGTCAAAAGACCTTGGCTTAAGTTCCTGCTTTCACACTTACTAGCTGTTCAACCTTGGGCAAATTTTTAACCTCTCTGGGCCTCAGTTTCTTCATTTGGAAAATGAAAGGATTAGACCAGATGATGATGGATAAGTGCTCTTTTAGTTCTGAAGATCTATGATTCTATACTTTCTGCACTCCTCTGTATGGAGTTTTGCAAATAGTAGGCACTCAGGAAGCGCTTATTAAGTGAATGAACAAATCCAAATTTCCAATATTCTTTGCAAGGGCAGGTCTGTGCATTAAGATATCAGGTGTTGCATAGACATACTACCAGGATAATTTACAATGAAAATGCTTCCATCAACATCCAGGATTAGAAGGATTCATAAATTATAGGGTCATCAATTTAGAGCTAGAAGGTATCTCAGAGATCATCTAATTCAGCCCCTTTATTTTACAGATAAGAAAATCAAGGCCCTGAAATATGATGACTTGCCCAAGGTCACAAAGGCAGTTGTTAGCAGAGCTGAGATTCAAGCTCAGGTCCTCTCACTTCAGATTAAATTTTTCCCTGCTTTACTCCATTACCTTCTCATAGATTACAGCTCCCCTTTTCCCAGGAAATGGGAAGTAAAGATGTTAAAGATAACCTTGGGTTTAATTTGTTATACGAGAATCATTTGGCACTCTTTGATCATATCCTGTTTACAAAGAACATTTAATCTGATTTGGTAAAATCTGCAAGTAACAGATCCAAAGCTCCAAGGATGAAGTCAGTGCAGGACATAGGGCTCTCTCTCCTTTTAAAAAGCTACCAACAGTGTTAGTCCTGGGTGGGGCTGAGAAGACTTCTTCCTGCTTAGGCTGTCAAAGTTTGAAACTGATGTTTTGGTGGCCCTTGGTAAAATTATGGAGCAGGTGATCCAGGGTGTTCCACAGCCCACTGGGTAGTATTGAGTGTGTAAAAGCATATAAAAAAGGGATTATGGTTTAACTCAAGTGAGTTCCCTTACAGGGAGGTCCCTCTGTCCAGTAGTTCTTTTAATCCCATCTATATTATGGACTGGTTTGTTTCTGTTCCAGCCAGAAACTCTGAGGGTCTTCCCCTCCCAGATTAATTCTTTTGTGAAGGCAAACTAGGCTTCTTTTGCTTCAGTTCTTACCTAGCCTTTAACCACTGAATGGGTGTTGCCTTAGACAAACTGAGACCTGGGAAAAACCTTAGTTTAAAAAGGCCAAGGTCTCCCACTGCTTCTGGGGCCATCACCAGTCCTCTTAACCTATGTTTTGCCACTGGACTCTGATGACTCTGGAGGAGCTATGCTTCACTTAAATCCAATTTACTTGCAAGTCAATACATCACTCTCCTGATGTCAATGGTCCTTTTCAAGAATGAAGGACTAATAACAACAAACAATGTTATAGACTAGTAGAAAAGGAGTTGAGGCAAAATGTGACTGACTTGTAAAATTTTTAATATTTTATTTTTCCCCAATTACACATAAAAATAACTTACAACATTCATTTTTAAAAATTTTGAGTTTCAGATTCCCTGCCCTTCTTCTCTTCCCTCCTCATTGACAATGCAATCAATTTGGTAATTATACATGAGCAGTCATGCAAAACATATTTCAATACTAGTGACTGATTTTTTTTTTTATCTTTCCTAGAACTTTGAAGTAGGTTTTGAATCTGGCCTATTGCAATCCTTCCTACCCCTAAATCAAATCAGAAGATATTCAGTTATCTAAATGTCTCCCATCCACTTGCTTTACTGGGCTCTTGAGTTTTCTTCTCAAAATAGCAAACAAAAAGTTAACAATGGAAAGTGATCACTATAATAAATGAATCCCCTCTGGATATGGAGTCTTGTCTCTCTCACTTATTCGTTTTATGACTACAGACAAGTCATCTCACATCTCTTGGCCTGTTTCTTTATCTATAAAATAGGGATGATAATATTTGTATTATCTACCTCACAAGACTTACGTAAGAAAATGCCTTGTAAACTTTAAAGCTCTCTATAAATATGAGCTATTATTCATAATAATGAAGTGATGATCAATGTGAGCTATCATTATCAGTGATGATGATGGTATTTCTCAGTGCAAGATTAAGACTCACAGCCTTCAAAGAAAATTGGGTAAGTAGAAAGCTAAAGTCACTGGCATATCTATTGTTGAATGTATATTATTGGATACAAGTATGTATAACATTGCACGTGCCTGCCTTAATGGATAAAGAACAAAAGTCAAGAAAACTCAGGTTCAAATCTCGTATCTGACATAATGGAACAATGAAATTATAAGCATCCATTGTGTGCACAATCCCATGACAGGTTTTGTGGAGAATACAAAAACAGTTTATATACATACATACATATATACATGCACATATGTATATATTAATTATATATACAAACTATTTTCAGATATAGACATACATACATTCATATATTTACACACATAAATGAATGAGCCAGGATCTAGTGTTAGAAAAGACACGGTTTTGTAATATACTCTTCTCATTTTACAGATGAGAATGAAATAGAGGGATATTAAGTAACTAACCCAAGAGGCAGAGACAGGATTTGAACTCATATCCTCTGACTCAAGTTTAGCATTCCTTCAAAGGACTTAATCAAGTCTTAATAAAGAACAAGAAAAAGAGGGCAAAAAGATCAACAAAGAAGTCAGACTATTCCACCAGAGACAACGGTCACAAGTTTCCAAAAATTCCTAGCCCCCTTTTCACTGCAATCTCCACACGCCTTCTCTATTTAGTCAAAGGTGAATAGTTCCAGCCTGCATTTGATATTTTGGACAAGCCACTTTTCTTGGATGGAACTTTCATCACAAGTCTCATCCCTTGCCTCAGGACTGACTTACAGAACTGACCTTGGGTCCTTCTGTTTCTGCAAATACTTCATCTTCCTCTAGACCCCAGCCAGTAGCCTGGCTGTCATGCCACTGACCTGCTGAGAAACCCTCAACATCAGGGTGATATAATAGAAATAGCCCTGGTTCCAGAATCAGACAACCTGGGTTTCAAATCCTATCCCTACTACTTACAATCTGAGCAATCTTGGTCAAGTCATTAATTTCCCTAGACCTCAGTTACCTCATCTGTAAAATGAGAGAGTTGGACTAGATTGGCCCTTAAAGTTCATCCTAGCTCAAGGTCTATAATACTATGATCAAAATCCCTTCATTTCCTATTCACTAGACTAAGTCAGTCTAAAGAAAATCCCGAAAGAATAAATCACCACAAGTACAGTCTCACAGACAGGAAATGCAATACACTCCAGACCTATGATTTCATTGGTATACGGATTTCCCAGTGTTGAAACTGCAGACAGATCAAACTTGCCTGTAACTAATAGTCCTAGGGAGTTGCTTAACTTTCCTACCAAATAATTTTCCTATTGATCTCATAGCCATTATGGGTCTGAGGTAAGATTTGAACTCAACTCCAGGCACATCACTTTATCCATTGTACTGTGCTGCCTGTCATACAGTGTATTAGCCTCAAATAGTTTTCATTCCTCCCATAGATATCATAACAAAATTAATTAAGACAAATAGGCAAATCAAAGGGGAAATATTTCTAAAATGAGTGACTTTTTCTGCTCAGCTTTCTGCTGAGCCTTCTCCTTGTTAATAAGCGATGTGATCATGGGGGAATCATTTCCCTCTCTCCGCCTCAGTTTCCTTCTCCATAAAATGAAAGTGTTTGATGAAACGATCTCTAACAACCCTTCTAACTCTACATTCTATGATCCACCAATACTGTGATTCATCTTAGGTTCTCTTGAGAAGAAAAAGACAAATTCACTTTACCTGTCCAACACTGTCACCGGGACAAACGAGTTTCTTAATCTTCACTGGTGTTGGTCAAAGTCCTCTTTTTGACTAAGATGTCATTTGCTTTGCTTCCTCCTCAGAGGAAATCACTGATAATAGGAATATCTCGTAGGGCTCATGACTATACCTTTCAGCAGTAAAAAGCTCCTCCGGCAAAAGACCAGTTCTCAACTGGGTGTTCCCCCTGGCTGTGCAGCCAGCCCTCCAGCTTTCACAGTGCCATGGAAGAAAGCTCAGAAGCTGTCTGGAAAACAAGAAGCCATTTCCTGGCCCCCTTCTCCGGATGGCGTATGCAATTTCCCTCACGCCTATGGGAAGTCCTTCAGTTTCTTCTTATCTGAATCCCTCTTCCACTGAGTGGTTCAACTTGTTCTACTGATGCCCCTTTCTTTACTTTTCCTCTCTCAAAATAAAATGTCAGCAGAATGTAACCTAGGTCAACCCCCCAAAAGAGGGCTGGGCTATGGCAGAGAAATTCAGTGGGGGATACTTTAAGTCAAGTGATGCCTCCTAATTTTGAATCGGATTTCCAGGAGGTAGAAAGAGGAAAAAACAATGAGAAAGCAAAGCTGGCTGGCTTCCCTATGCTCACACATAAACTTGCTCACTCTGCAGGGTCACACAGAAGGAATGAATAGCAAGATCTGTGAGGAAACATTCAGGAATCATTTAGTCCTGTCTAGGTAGAGTGGTCCTTAAACTGGACCACAGGAGGAGGGTCTTTTCTTTGAGATCTCCAGGGAAGAGACTGGAAACCATTCTGAATTTGAAAGACCGTTTAATTGTTCATCATTGATATTTAAAGATGAAGAAGTGTCATGGTAAAGAATTGGTAAGCTTCCATCAATTTGTATGCTTTTTGTTGTTTTTAAGGACATTGAGTCTAAATTGTCAAACCACCCTCATTTTATAGATGAGGACTCCAAGGCCCAGAGTTTTGAGGTTCCTTGTGCAAAGTCATAGCCAGATTGCTTTCTGGGGCATTAGACAGCTTGTAGAATAAGAGATGATTCCAGAAGTGAGACTTCTACTAACACAAGAGTATATATTTGGAGAGTCAGAAAAATGCCATCTTTCAGTCACAGAGGTCTAGAATTTCTAGGCAAAGAAGTCTTAGAGGTTGTCTGGCCTAACATCCTTATTTTACAGAGGAGGAAGCTGAGGCCAGAAGAGAGGAAGTGACTTGCCTAAGGTGATACCCATTAAGGCTGTTAGAGCCAGGAAAAGAACCAGGAGTGTGCTGATATATGTTTAACAATTGACTCCCTAGGGTGGAAAAATGTACACTAAACACATTTTAAAGTTCAATCTGTGTCATTAACGTTTTCTCCATCACTTTCTTAAGTCTAGATGGGGTAGGCAGGGGGCAGGGGGCAGGGGGCAAGGGGTGAGGTGGGGGGGAGACAGACTGCTAGGAAAGCTCCCATTCTTTACCAGCTGTGTTACCCTGGCCATGGCTTAACCTTTCTGTATTTCAGTTTCTCCATCTGTAAAATAGGGATATTAATATTTATATTTGCCTACCTTATAGGATTATTGTGAGGAAGATGTTTTTTATTATTCTTAAACATTAAACAAGCCAATTATTATTAAGCTTAAATAGATTTAAACTACACTAAGACTTTTGGGACACCCTCTATAATCAAGAATTATTATTATGTGAATACTTGGAAAATAATTGTGAATTGTGGAGTTTAGGGAAATTCCTCCACCAAGTCCATAACTTAGAGTAGAGGAGTCCTAGGGAGGAGTTAAGTGACCTGCCCCGGGTCACACAGAAATTGAATTTGAACTGAGGTCTTCTTGACTTCAAATCATCATTCTATTCACTACATGACAGGTTCCACGACTTCTGATCATTACATATAGAAAATAAGTTGTTATATAGGGAAATAATGCTCTTTTTTTGCAACAACTTATTGCAAACATTAACCAGTGTCATCAACCACTATTAAAATACATTTTAAACACATTGAGAACACACTGAGAGGAGTTATTGAGTTGCTTTTACTTTTTTGCTATTCTTTGTTTCTCCAGGGCTAAGCACAGTGCCTGGCACATTATGATGCTTGATAAATTCTTGTTGACAGCCAAAAGAGAGTTCTCCATTGGAGCCGATAAAATCACACGTAACAATTAGGTTTAGCCAATCAAATGCCTCTCTTATTTATCCTGAACTGTTATCAATCACTGCTTAATCTAAATTAGAATTTACCTTCAGCAGATGAGATGAGGATCAATAAGACAGTCAAGTAGAACTAGTTTAATTCCTCCTGAACTGTTATAATTCCAGGTGAAAGTCCTTCAAGGGTATATTTAAAGTCTTTCGCCTTTTACAAACTTTAACCAGGTGTCAATGCTACCGCAAAAGGCTTTAATCAACTACCCTATGGAGTGTCCTGACTTCTGGGCTTTGCCAGTCATCTGACAATGCTTTGGACTCTTCTCCACCTTTGCCTGCTACACTGGGCTCTAGGCATACCCTCCTTCCATGCTATTTTGGGGGGAAGGGAAGAGAGAGGAGCACCTTAGCTCTGTAACTCTCCTCTCTCACTCACTCTCAGGTTCATACTTGGAGAACCTAACCTACTTGGAATTTTCAAAGAGATAGAAAAAATGGTATTAGCAGTTTCCTTCTCTTTTTCCATTAATCACACTGGTCCACAAGAGACTGCTAGGAATGGGGGTGGGGGGTGTTAAATGTTGGTGTTATTTTAGTCTGCTGATACAAAGGACAGTTGGCAGTTAGGTGGTGCAGTGGATAGAGAGTTGGACCTCAAGTCAGGAAGACCTGCATTAACTCAGGCCTCAGATACTTATTAGCTGTGTGACTCTGGACAAGTCACGTAACACAGTTTGCCTCAGTTTCCTCAGCTGTAAAATGAGCTGGAGAAGGAAATGGCAAACCACTCCACTGCTTTGCCAAGCAAACCCCAAATGGAGACACAACTGAAAAAAGACTAAATAATAATAACAACAAATAAGTCTTCTCCAGGCAAAGCATCCTTAGTCCCTTCAAGTTATTCTTAGGTGATATGATCTCAAACCCCTTCAATTAACTCTAATTCCTCTGGAAACTCTCTAGTTTGTGAATGTTCTAAGATGTGTCTACCAGAACCTAACACAATATTTCAAATGTGCTGTGACAAAGAAGAGTAAGATATGTATCAATACCTGTGTTGACATATTGTTAGATAGTTATAGATATGTATATGTACACATACATAAATACATATACAATGCACACACAAATACACATACACACATACACACATTTCACTTTCTTCATTCTGTGTCAATGTAGCCAAAGTTCATGGTAACTTTTGAGGCTACTATATCCCACTTTAGAATCCCATTGAGTTTTCTAATCAATAGGAACAAATGAAGGGGGCAGTAAGTTGTTGTTTGCAAATAGATCTTTATGATCCCATAATCATAAGTTTTTAAACTGAAAGTTCGGAAGACTTAGACATCATTTAGTTCAAATCCCACATTTTACAGATGAGTCCAAGAGGACAAAGGACTTGTCCAAGAACATAGTGGTAGTAGGTGGCATTGTTGTTTGTCTTTTGTTCTTGAAGATGACCTTGACATCAAGAAAGTGATGTCATGACTTGCAAGTAAATTGGATTACAGTGAGGGAGGGCTGTGCAAAGTCATCAGCCTCACTGTCCTTCAGAGTCATTGGAGTCCAGTGGCAAGATATAGATCAGGACGATTGGAAATTGCCTTAGATGCAGCGGGAGACCTTGGCCTTTTTAAGCTAAGGTCTGTCCCAGGGCTCAGTTTGTCTTGGGCAACACCCATTCAGTAGTTTAAGGCTAGGTAAGAATCGAGGCAAAAGATGGCCTGAGTTTGTGTTCACAAAAGAATCAATCTGGGAGTGAGCAGAACCAGGAGAACATTGTAGACAGTAACAGTCACATTGCATGATGACTAACTTGGATAGACTTATCTCTTCTTAGCAATGCAAGGATCTAAGACAACTCCAAAAGACTCAAGATGGAAAATGCTATCCACATCCAGAAAAAGAATTATGGAGTCTGAATGCAGATTGAAGCATATTATTTGCTCTCTCTCTCTCTCTCTTTCTCTTTGTTTGTTCTTTCTTGTGGTTTCTCCCATTGGTTCTAATTCTTCTTTACAACATGACTAATGTGAAAATAAGCTTCATATGAATGTATATGTTGAGCCTATATCAATTTACATGACGTCTTGGGGTGTGAGGAGGGAGAGGTGAGGAGAAAATTTGGAACTCAAAATCTTGTGGAAGTGAATATTATTGAAAACTAAAAATAAAGAAATAAATTTATTTTTTAAAAAAGATCAATTTGAGAGGGGAAGACCCTCAGAGTTTCTGGCCAGAATAGAAACAATTTCTGTTTACACTCACTGAGCCATCAGACCCCAAACAATGACCAAGTGATGCTTGGGCTGGGACCTGTTGTTGACCAATCAATGAGAGCCAGGGTGATTTGGGTTTAAGGCATGGTCCTTAAAAAAGAAATCTGGCCTGTAAAGTCCAAAATATCTTGTGAAGTTTCAGGGATCAAAATTTATACTCCTTTGAGCAGAGCATCCAGGTAAGGATGTGATTCCCTATGTGGACAGAGGGAGAGCAGGAAGGAAGGAAGGAAGGAAGGAAGGAAGGAAGGAAGGAAGGAAGG